AAAGTTTAAAAAAAACAGCATTTATTCAAAATATAAATCTTTTCTAACAATATAAATCTTTGTTATCATTCTTATCAATTTAACACATCCTTGCTGAATAAAAGTTCTAATTTCTTTCATAAAAAGAAAGAATAAAAAAAAACGTTTTGTTTCCAAACCCCAAACTTTTGAACTGTATTGTTAGAAAAGATTTCTATTTTAAATAAATGCTCTTCTTTTTAACTTTTTATTCATCAATCATCAAAAAAAAATGTATCAGTTTCTACAAAAATATTAAGCAGCGCATCTGTCTTCAACATTGACAATAATACGTTTCTGGAGCATCAAATCAGCATATCAGAATGATTTCTGAAGGATCATGTGACACTGAAGACTGGAGTAATGACTGCTGCCATTCAGCTTTGCATCACAGAAATGTCTTCCATTTAAGGATTATGGAGGCACCTTGTGCTCTTAGGAACCTTAAGTGCAGCAGATTTTTTTTTGTAACCTTGGCCAGATCTGTGTCTTGCCACAATTCTGTCTCTGAGCTTTTCAGGCAGTTCCTTTGACCTCATGATTCTCGTTTGCTCTGACATGCACTGTGAGCTGTAAGGTCTTATATAGACAGGTGTGTGGCTTTCCTAATCAAGTCCAATCAGTATAATCAAACACAGCTGGACTCAAATGAAGGTGTAGAACCATCTCAAGGATGATCAGAAGAAATGGACAGCACCTGAGTTAAATATATGAGTGTCACAGCAAAGGGTCTGAATACTTAGGACCATGTGATATTTCAGTTTTTCTTTTTTAATAAATCTGCAAAAATGTCAACAATTCTGTGTTTTTCTGTCAATATGGGGTGCTGTGTGTACATTAATGAGGAAAAAAAATTAACTTAAATGATTTTAGCAAATGGCTGCAATATAACAAAGCGTGAAAAATTTAAGGGGGTCTGAATACTTTCCGTACCCACTGTATATTATTTTATTTCAGTTAACATTTTATTTCAGTAACAAAAATGCATTTTTATGGTTTTAGTTAACTATAATAACCCTGGCAGTTTCTTACATTTAGAGAAATATATACCAAAAAAATACAGATTGCTAAGTGTTGTTTTTTTCTGAATTACTTTGATTTCAGATGTTGCTCACTAGTCCAGATAGATATATATTTTATAACTTATTTTATATTATTTTATAACAGTAACTTCCATTATTATATTTTTTATATATTTTTAACATTTTATAGATAGAGATTTTTATCTTTGTGAATCTCGTGAATCCCACATACAGACCAGATTTTATCCTCAAAAAAATAACAAATTATATTTTTCATATAAAAAAGTATATTTTCGAGTTAAGATTATTAAGGTTTATTATGATGTTGTTGTTGTTTAACAATCGAGCACTTTTTTCCCATTTAATTCTCATTTTTAAATAATAAAAAATAAAAATAGTTCATAATTTTTGTATTTAAATAGCTTATAATACATTTATTATTATATATTTACTATTTATTATTATATATTTTTATTGTGTACATATGATATTATACACGTTATATAAATATCATATTTTTTAGTCTTTTTTTTCTTTCTTTTTTTTTGGGGGGGACCTACACATTTTCACTTGTGAATATAATACAGGCTAGCTGTTCTCTATTAAATCCTGTTATTTTATGTGTCTGTAGGTTCGGGCGGCACCTCCTCCTCCAAAGCAGCACGCGCGCAGACAGGTGGAGAAAACCGAAGAGGTGGAGATTACGCTGGTGTAGAGCTCCGCCCTAGTGGACTGAGAACAAACCCCATCTGACCCCTCACGGATGCCCTATGAGCATCCTTAGATCCCCGAGGGGGCGGAGAACAGCATCTCAAAGGCATCCCTTTTTCATAAAATACAAACACCTCTTTTGGCGTCAGAGACTGTTTGGTGCCTTAAACCGCTTTCATGCCAAACTCTAATCCTTGTATTCGTAATGACTTTATCGTGCAACGGGGACTTGTTTAAAACTTTGTTAATTCACTCAATGGCAGTTCAGTTTTGCAAAATCATGGTTGATGTGTAAGCGTGCATCTAAAAACACAGAAAGGAATCGAATACAAGGGTTTAGCAAGAGTTTCAAAAGAGGCTACACTTGCACATCCATCTCTTCAGTGGCTTTTGAAGAGCCAAACATGCAATACTAGGAATTCTGGGATGTGAAAAAGGGGTCAGCCACGGATAGTCCTACCATTTACGTATTTCATATGTAATAGCACAGTACATTACTGTCGTCATAGGAATGTTATATTCACGTTAAACATTACAGATCATAATGGAGAAAGGGAACTGTACATAAAAGGCTACAAGGAAAAAGAGCGGTAGAGGAAATAGAGGAGAACGAGGGTTAAAAAGAGAGGAAGGCTGGTTACTTCGCTCTTTTTTTGTTTGTTTTTCATCGGTTTAGCTTCTTTCTGTCTTGTGTTGGTCCGGAAAAATAAAAGTACTAACTACATAGCTATATCCTTTTTCTCAGCTTTTCATTAAGAAGACCAGTGTTTGCATGTATTACTAATATTTAGTCCTCAGAAAGGCGTGCGAGAGCGATCTAAAGATGTGTCTCTGAGCCGGGGACGGAGAATATTCTGCGTCTGTAATCATGGAAATATACTGATCAGTATACAAGTATCAGTTAAAGTGCTTTTCCAGCCTAACGCATTTCTCATTGTCATGTGTCGGCACTGCAGAGGACTGAACGGATGTGTTGTGTTTCTTTTATGGCAGTGTTTAGGATGAATGTGATGGGAAAGATTCCCTCCAACAAGCACAGAAAAGGTGGATCATCATGGGGATTTTTCATTTTAATTATTGCCAATGAACGCAAACCTATTATCGTGTCCTAAGTGCATTTCCTCCCTACAAGGGGGCAGCTATGTTTTTTTTTTTTTTTTCTTTTTTGCAGTTGAAGAGACATTTGATCTTAAATAAGCAATGCCTGTTATGTTTCATTTTCATTCATTTCCACAGTATTTTCATGCATATCTTGAACGTTTTCTGAAGTTTCAGTGCTTTGACCCCTCAATTTGAACTTTTTTTTTAATGTCCGTGTATCCCAGCTGCCTCTTTTGGACGATGAAGCTGCCCAGCGTCGTGTTATTGATCTCGTTAGAGAATGACTGATTGTAGTTTTCCCATAACGTTTGAAAGAGAACAGAGTTATGTTGATTCCATAATATAGACAGTGGAAAGAATAAAAAAAATCCATTTTGTGAAATGGTACCATAGTTCTGTTAAGCAGGAACAGGGTCATCACCAAAAGTACGTGTGCGAGACGTGAGAGGGAAAAAAAACAAGTTTTTTTAATCCGAGCGGAAGATGTTTGAGTATCTTCCCTTTGTTTCTATTTTCCTGTCACAACCTATTTTCTTGTTGATCTCATTGAGATCTTTTGAATGTTATCAAACTTGTTTTGAAGTTTATGGTTAGAGGTTAAAGCCCATTGTGTCAAAAACTGTTCTCACCTACGAAACGAATGCAAATTTTGATATTTTAATTTGCATTTTTTAAAATTGCGCTCCCAGTTTTCTCGGCCAGTTTCAACTCTTTGGAGCTTCTTCAATAGCATTAGCTGCATATTCTAGTTGTTTTTATTTCTAAAGTGATTTTATATGCATTTATTAAAATTTGAAGGTGATTCCGAGCTGCTAGACAAAAAACAGATGGAATAACAACAATTGACTGTTGCTGCAGTGACAATATCAGAGAACAGGTGAAAAATATTCTTTCTGCATATTATTAGCTGTAAAATTATTTGTATTTATTGTGTACAAATGTTAAATAAAAAAATTGGGGAAAGTGCTTCTGTTTGTTTGTTTCTGTTTTCTGACGTAACCAGATGTGAATGCATAAATTGCAACTTCAAATATTATATTTCTTTATTTTATAAGTTGTATTTATTTAATGTTTAGTGTTTATTTTCATAGAAAATGTATATTTTTTAACTATATTCAGCCCCATATTTTAGTAAAATAGCTGCAAAAAATGCAAACCTATTACATAGGTAATAGTAAAAACTAAATACAGCTTATATTATTTTTTTCTAAGTGGACAAACATTTGAAGACAAAGATATTTGAACATCTAAAGGTTAAATACCTCCTTTCACAATATGTTTAAAAAAAACTTTTCTTATGAATATGAAATATTTAATATTTGTATTTTTTTCTGAAATTAAATTTTTTAATTAAATTTAAATGTTAAATGTTTAAATTAATTTAAATGAGTTTTAAATTAATTAAAATTTTGTACTACTTCCTGTAGGAAGTGTTTGGAATGTTTTAAAATTCATTTAATGTCTAGAGTGCGTTTTTTGCCGGAAGATAGACTGTTTTATCAGTTTTCAAAAGTGGGCGGTTCTCCCGGAGTTCCATGTAAATAACAGGGAACGGTTTCCTGCTGGGAAATGAGATACAAGGCAAAACATGCGGTTGCCCTCCTCGCCTTCATCCTTTCTCCATCCACAGGGTAATGAGTGCAGATTTTTCACATATTTCAATATAATTAAGAATTTTACTTATATATTTAATAATTAAGTACCAGCACATCTATTAATGAATGAAATGTTGCATTTGGTTTTATTTGTGAAATGTTCTGTCTTTATGAATGTTCCCAAAATGCATCCCAAGAGATGGTGTAGTTTAGAGGTTAAATCATAAATAAAGAATTAACAAAAAAAAAAAAAAACACATATGCACATTTAATATGCGCATGTGCAAATGAGATTTGATAGTCATGCTGGTTTGGAATGACCTGAGGATGAATAAATGACAGTATTTAAATATTTTAAGTTAACTATTCCTTTGAAACTTGATTTTATTCATCAGGAAGTGACTGGATTGTGAAAAGTGGTCTGGAGGGGAGGGGTTGCAAAATAACGTGGAGCAAGGTATTATTTTAATAAAAGATTAAGACTTTTTCCATTTGAAATAACATACACCAATGAAGTGTTCACAGTAAGATGAGAAAATAAAAAAAGTTACTTGTGTAGTTTGAGTGACGAATGGAGCTCAAACGTAGTTCAGGCAGACCACAGTGTGACAGCCAGCATCAGCTGACGCTCAACTGATTGTAACTCCTTCCACTACAATTAAATAAGAGATATAAGTTCATCCATACTCAAACTTGCATTAGTCTGTCGCAGAGACATGCGCTTACCCTCCTCCATCCCCAGCTCCTCCTTATACAGGCACATGATCACTGAGTGTCTTGTCCATGGAAATCATCTATCAGCTCATCGTTGCTAATCTTGTAGTCTCATTTACAGACCTGTATCACTTCTGCATGGAATTTTATATCTGTTCTATTTATAAAAAAAAAATTCTGGTAATTGCATTAGGCTTCGGGGGTTTCAAACCTCAGTGTGGTTTGCTTGTGGACAGCTCAGAATCTGAACCCTTCAGAGCAAAGTCTGCCACCAAAATAATGTCAGACTCAGGACCTCTACAATAATCGTAATCAAGCAGAGTGGTCTTGACTGAAATAAAAAAAAAATCTGGACTAGAAAACAATGGGTAAAATTTGACTGAAATGTTGACTCATGTAAACTCTGTTGCAGAATCTGTGGTTGAGAGGCGGTTACTAAGGCAAAGAGTTTCCCCCAGACTGAGGGAATACTGCAGATGCACATATGGAGTTGAGTTCAGAGTGAGCAAACATCCATCATTCTTTTTTCATCATCTTCTGTCAGTATGTAAAGCATTTGATCAGCTTGGAAACAATCTAATTCTGAAGAACATTATAGTTGTGTTGCTTCCAGCTGACAATAACAAATTATTTTTTCCCACAAGCAATTGTGTTTTAATCCATAAACATGAATAAATAATGATTATTTCTTTCATTGGAACATTGAGCATGTAACAGGCCCTCCTACTGTCTCATTATCTAAACATCATGCATTTTTAATTGTGCAAATGACAAAAGACTGACTGGGTTAGTATTGATCTTTTCTTGTTAACATTATTTCTATACTGCTTTCTAAAAGCATGTCAGTAGACAGTTTATGGTGTATAAAACACTGTGGTTGTTTTGGCCAATAGTTTGGGATCTAGGCCACCAACACAAAGTCTTCCTGACCGCAAGATCACCATCCAAGAATCCTTTGGGGCTCATCATAGATGGTCTTGACCAACTGCCAAAGACTGATGGACAACTCGACTTGACATTACTTCCCGAATCATTAGCTCCAAATGTAAAGCTTATCATTTCCATCAATGTAAACAGGCCTACCCTTCTTGCTAATCTGAAGATGTATTACCCAGATTAATCTGTGTTCTGGGAGTTGCAAGAAGTAGAGAATAAAAGCTGCAGCCAGCTACTGACAACACTTCTTCAGGAGTCCAACAGAAAGATCACCTCAGGCCAACAGATGTATGTGAATCAGGCGTTTAAGAAATGCCCTGTCCCACTATATGTGGAACTCCTTCATAGACAGGCAATCCACTGGAAGTCAGAGTTTGAGATTATGGAGAACTCTTTGATCCAAGAGGCCCATAACAACATTGTTCTAATGTTTGATCATCTGGAGAAGAAGCATGGGAAAGCTGTAGTCTCCAAAGCTTTAAGCTATCTTGCTTTGGCCAGGTACGGCATGACCGCAACTGAGTTGACTGATGTTCTTTCTTGTGATGATGAAGTTCTTGCATCTTTCCTTCCACCAGGCGATGGCGTACCGCTCACAGTGAGGGTTCCTGAAGTTTCTGTGAATAGTCTTCTTTCAGACTTGAGGGGGTTTCTAGTGCTGAGGAACATTTTAGGTACCCAAACTCTTTCCTGGGTGAGCAAACACTTCCCTTTGGTTGTACAGTATGTAAGAGGTACCTGTGCTCAGAGGAAACATGTCAGAAGACACATCATGGGCTGTCACACTATTTCAGTGGCTCTTGGGCAAATGGCACAGCAAAACCTTTGATCATCAATGAAGACATGAAAATGCCAAGCTCTTCAGATGCCCCACAGAACATTAACATTGACAGACAAGTACCAAGTCAACCTTGGATCTTTTCTCCTCATTTCTACATCTCTACTGCCAAGAGTCCATCAGCAAGAACACATCCCAATTTGAGGAAACTCCACATACTCCCTTTCCATTTGTTGAAAAGTGGGAGAATTGAGGAGCTTGGCAACCAAATGATTTCTCAAGAATACCTTCAGGCAATGCTGCAGGCAGAACTGGCTGACGAACTCTTTCTGTGGCTTGAAAGGACATCTCAGTTGGTTTTTCCCGGGGAACTTCAGCTACTCCACATCATCTTGAGATCTTCAGCTTGTCTACTGAGGAACAACCCTGCCGATCTGTCAACAGTACTCCAAACTCCTTCCTTATCTGAATGTTTTTCCTGCATTGGAAGAATGTGTTAATTTGCCATGGTCTAAAGTAGGGCTGCACGATAAATCGCATGTGATATTTAACCCTAGTCTAAAGGTAGTCTAAAGGTATAATCCCAAACAATCGAGTGTATACTGTGTTGCCTCCAGTTCCTTCAGTCCCTTATACCAACTGTATACTGCAAGAGTCGACAGCTTCCCGGATCATACAGTCAGCTGGTTCTTCCTGTGGCACTGTGGTGGTTGTACTGGAAAATGGAACCGCTTGGGTTTGTAATGGAGGTATATTTGAAGGCTTCAAACTAACCCAGTCCTCTAATCTGCAGTTCACATGTGTCAGTAGCTCGGGAAACACATTCCTTCTGAGCACCCATTACGGTAAACTTGTCTTGTGGGAAGCAGGTGTTAGCACACAGCCTCAAGAAATTCAAACCCAAAACAGGGAAAACACCTTTCTTGAGGGTATCTTATTGTCTAATCACAAACTATTTTTGTGGTGGAAAGGACAAAACATTGTTAGCGTATTTGTTGATAGGGAGGACAATTCCGAACTGCACTGCACTTATGAGATAACCTGTGTCATGTTCTGAGGAAGGTGATATAATTTACTGTGGACGGAATGAAAGTTCTGTGACCATATTTGACTGGTCCAATGGCCAACTTCTAGCCACCTTTACTTGTCCAAAAGATATGCCATTAATTGATATGATTCTCTCTGACGGTGACGGGATGATTACATGTGTAGATCAAGCAGGAAACGCGTTTGCTTGGAATCTTGAGATTATAGCAGAACCAGTTCTGATTTGTGAGAACCATTGCACAACCCAGGGGAAGGTGTTAAACACAGACTACAAAGGGGACAACGTTCTCCTAATATGTAAAAAGCAACAAATGCAACTTATTGACATTCATCAAATTGATGTACTTGACCAATTCAATCCCCCAAGAGGCAAAACATTTAAGCAAGCCATAATGGATCAAAACTAACACTTCATCCTTGCTTTACTGTGCAACTGCCCATTTCTGCTGGTCTGGAATTGTGCCTCTGGACAGTGTGTGTTGAGTCTGGACACTGCAAACTGTCAAGCTATTAAACTTCTGAAATGTGGGGCTACTTACCTGGCAGCAAAAACAAGTGTAAGTGTTCTTATTTGGTACATGGATCTCATTACAGCTTCAACATTGGCACCAAAATCTGGAAAGAGGGTGGAGATGGTGGCTGTGGGATCTCATGGAGAAAGTTGTTACTCTTCAGATGGCTCTGAACTTGTTTGGAAGTGGGGGGTATCAAGTGGCAAAGTGAAAGGCCGCTTCCTTCACCAAGGTACTGTGGAGTCTATGACTGTCTCTGGAGATGGCAACTACCTTGTGAGTACTGCAACTGGAGACATACAGTATATGTCTGGGAAACCAGGAGTGGGGAAAATATTTACAGAATCTCTGGTAGTCAAGCTTACAAGGTTGTAATAACACCCA